TGTATCTGCCCTTGACCCCGTATAAAACTGAGTTGTACTTAGTAAAGAAACTATTACAATTTTTGCATTTTTGGAAAAGGTGTAGCTTTTTAGGGGCAGTTCTCAGGTTGATATCTCTTGGTATTACCACAGAATAATAAACAATCAGAATGTCCACTCTGCTTAAAAAAATAATTACGCGTATCTTGTTCACATTCTTGTTGATCTCGTCACAGTCCTGGCGCCGAACCGAACAATCCGTCATACAAAATATTCTTTAATAGAAATATGGCTCCGGCATTCACATTCATCGTGCGACGAACAGTTTGCCCGCTGTCAGATAGTTGATAGTTCTGTGAGCAAATAGGACCGGATCGGCGTCGGGACTGTGACGGGACTGATGTGTCTGAATCGACCTTTAGTCGGAACCAGTGCTGTTCAGTGACATTTTATCTGGTGTGCATAGACAAATTTATCCGGTTTAATTTATTTACGGCAACTACAGCCATAATATGCACTATTTTATTCGTACTTTTAGTTGGAGAATATATTAAATTATTTCAAATGTACTACATTATTATTAATCTCTAAAACTTTAAATTACAGTTCTGTCGTAGGTTGTCACAAATTTCTCAATTCGAGTCTATGTTTCCGTCTAAAACATTGCGTTCGAGTGCTGACAAACTTCAAAGGCGGCATCTGAGAGTAGTCATTCTGATTGTTTATTATTCTGTAGGATTACCATCGAGCAAAAAGACAAAAGAGGGAATGTAAAGGTAGTGGGGACAAAAATATTGTTAGACAGAAAGTGCCATCTTGAGAGGCCACATTAAACAAGGAAGGAGTGTCTCTTTCCTTGTTTAAGACATCAAATTTAGTTGGTTTATGTTATTGTTTGTCCCAACTGTCACATGGAATTTTATTTATATTGAAGTTTTTTAACAATTGTGTCGCATTTTAGACTATTATCGTTAGTATTTAATTAAAACTTTCTCGTCTAAGACACATTCTGAAAAATATTTGGCTGGTGTTGGGGAAAAGTGATATAAGTCGAAAAATGTAAAAAATGACTTAAACATACATATCACTTTGAAATGCATGTATCTTTGATAGGGTGAAGTGATATAAGTCAATTTAATAGGCAAGCAGGTTTTATTTGTTTGCGTTACATGATATAAGTATTTTTAATATCATTTAATATAGTGAAAAATGTTATAAGTATTCTAGTACTATTTTTTATGCCTCCATCTGCTAGACAGGAAAAAAAATTATAGAGAAAACTGAAATAAGTCTTGTTGTAATAGTCTTCCCTATATAATTTTATGATTAATATTTGTGAATAGTGATACAAGTGGAAATATATCAAAAGTTATTTTTAAAATATGATTGTGAATAAAGGTATATGTAAAAATATATCACTATTCTCATTAAAAAATATAGGGAAAAACATTATATGTTGACATATCACAAATGTTTTAACTCCAAAATTGAAAACTGATGATGTATGTTAAGATATACTAGTAGTTACGGCAATAGAAATTCAAACTGTGCAGTTTTAGGTCGACTTACCTCGCTTTTCCCTATTAAAATAATTACCGCTTTGTACCCGCTCAATCGACTTGTCTGTCATTTGTGGTTTAGTACTGCACGTGTGTTACTGTTGGTTTTATCCACTTTTGTTTTGACCTTTTAAATAAGCTTTAAGTATTCGAGAGAAATGTAATAAGTAGTGTAGCGATAGTATACCTCACCTAGGTAAACGTAAATTAGAAAACAAAACATAAAAATAGGCTTCTGTCACACAAATATTTTTTACCACTAAATGGTCAACTAGTTAACGTTTGTCAAAGTTGTTTCCTAAAAACTTTTAACGAAACAAAACGGTTTCTAACCGATGTGACAAAAAAGAAGATTTCTTCAGCTTCTGCAATGCCACATGATGATTTGCGAGGTCTTGCCTCACTATCTAACAAAACTCCCGAACAAGATATTCAATTAGTAAGAGTTCACATTGGATCAATCCCAACGTATGAGAGTCACTATTGTCGTCGTGACTCATTCAAGATATATCTTCCTCATTACTATACCTTAACAAGAATGTATGAAGAATACAAAAAATGGCTACCTCACGAGAAAACCCCAGTATCGAAATTCAAATATCAAGAAGTATTCCATTCCATGAAAATAAAAATCAAACAGCCTAAAAAGGATACCTGCGCTACATGCGATAAATATCATATGCTCCTGAAAACAACTAAAGATGCACAAAAAATGCAAGAAATTCAAAATCTTCTTGATAATCACCAACAAGAAGCATCAAACGCTTATGAGGCTAAGCGTATAGATAAAAATGCTGCGTTAGAAAATGAATCAAAAATCATTTATACGTTTGATTTGCAACAGTGTCTCCCCACACCTGATCTTCAGACTTCAATAGCATTCTATAAAAGGCAGTTGTGGACCTTTAATTTAACATTACATAGATTTAATGATAATCAAGCAATGTGTTTTATGTGGCATGAGGGCGTAGCTGGAGGGGTGCAAATCAGATTGCGTCATGCTTATACAGCAGATTTCACATATTTCACCTGAAATAAAAGAGATCACCTTATATTCTGATACGTGTGCAGGACAAAACAAGAACTCTTCTACCTGCAATGTTCATGATGGTTTTAAAAGAGAATCCCAATCTATCATACATTAACCACAAATTTCTTGTTCCTGGTCACACCCACATGGAGTGTGATTCAGATCACGCAATTAAAGATAAAAAAAGAAAAGATATCCATGTTCGATAGAACACCCAAGAGACTGGATGAATTTGGTAAGATTATGTGGAAATAAGCGAACTTTTTTAGTTATTATTTGAAAATATTTTATTTGTATCCGTAACAACAATATTAAATTTGAAAAAACTATAATTGCGTTTTTCTCGAAACTTAAAATTTAGACTTATACCACTTTTCTCCAACACCCGCCATTTTATAGCTACTGTTAATGAGTGTCGGAACATTTAAATTTGGCGCATTCGCATTGGCGAATGCGCTGCATGGCCCGCCATCAGAGGCCACTTTTTTGGTCTCCTTTTCATAAGGATTAGATTCCCTCTTTTGTCTTTTTGCTCGACGAGTATTACGGGCACATATTAATTAGATGCAAATAAATGTTGTATTTTATTTATTATAGAAGTAATGATCCGAAATTATGGTTAAACTAACTTAAATTGTTTTATTACAAGGGCGTAATTTTCCAAAATTGTATGTAAACCTATTAAAATTTAAAATATTAGCAAATTATGTCAAATTTTGTACACACTGTACAATACTAGTTCTATTAATCAAATATTTAATTGTATACAGTATATATTCTCAACGGAAATTTATAGCTACAAAACCAACATATCCCGTTTATCTAAACGTCATCAAAGCAATAACAAAAAACCAAAATATATTTACTTTGTCTCTACTCTCGTAAGTCTCTGTTTGATTTTGGCTTGACTTGCAGTAAATTCGGCCAAGAGTCTTGCCAATCGAATCTGCAAAGTTTCCACCGTGCTCTCCAACTTTTTTATACTGTCGCTCATCGATTCTTGGGTATCTTTTGCGTTCCGGAATTGCTCTTCGTCCAAAAGGCCATCTTTTCGCAGAAGTTGGCAACCGCGTTCTGTTAGCGTTGCTCGAGCCTGAAACAATAAATTTTGCTTAGTGAAGGTGCTGATAAAAGACGGAGAACGATACAATGGATTAAGAAATTTTATTGCAGGAAAAATACTTTTAGACTAATATAGTATTTTCCTTTGTTTAGCGGGATTTTTATCTATAAAAATAAAGATTTATTTGTAAAAACAGACATTAATCGCAATAACTAATATACACACAAGCAAGATTATATGAAAATTATCTGATATTTGTTATTATTTTAAGCAAATTAAAAAAAACCTACCTAGGAAGTCAAACAATATTTATTTTAAAGTAATTTAATCACCAATGAATATAAATTAAAGAAAATCATAAATTCTTCTTCTTCTTCTTTTTTATAAGCAAAATGCTTGTTCAATGTCGATTAATGCCTCTATTGGAGGTTATCACTCCATCTTTTGCGTGGTCGCCCGATACTTCTACCTCTTGGTGATTTCTCCTCGCTATTCTGACTAATTGGGTCTCTTCCATTCTGTTTATGTGTTCGTTCCATTCCTTTTTTCTGTTCAGTGTCCACTCATTTATTTCTGGTATATTGCATTTTCTTCTGATCTCTTCACTCCTCATTCGATCCCTCAGTGTGTTTCCTGTAATTCTCCTCAGTAAACGCATCTTCGCTGTTTCTAGTAGTTGCTGAGTTTTGGAGGTATTTGGTCTTGTCTCTGAAGTGTATGTCATTATTGGTCTTATTGTTGCTTTGTAGATTATTGATTTCACGTCGGTATTAATGTGGGGATTGCGCCATATCGTGTTATTAAGAAAACCTGCTATTTTATTATCCTTTTGTACTTGATTTTTCACTTCCTTCTCCACATCTCCGTAGCTAGACAGTGTAATTCCTAGGTAATTTATCTCCATTACTTGCTCAATGCTGTTACCGTCGATTTCCAGTTTACATCTAATTGGTTCTTTACTGATTACAATTGTTTTAGTTTTCTGTGTAGAGATCACCATATTAAAGTCCTTTGCCCTTGTGTTGAATCTATGGGTTAGTCTTTGTAGATCGTCTTCATTGGATGCAATTAGGGTCGCATCATCTGCATAGCAGAGTATTCTGATTTCTTTGTTCCCCATTTTGTATCCTTTTCCTTTATTAATAGTATTGATGATTTCATCCATAATTAGATTGAATAGCGTTGGACTAAGCGAGTCTCCTTGTCTTATTCCATTGCCCATATCTATTGGATCTGTAAGCCATAAATTCTTAAATAATAAAATTAAAATTATTTGTTTTAAAGTCAATATCATACAAAATTTCAATGTACAAGGAGTAATGTTTAAAATATTTTTATTTATTTATATTTTTTTTTAGTAGTCAGTGTTACTCACCCTAGGCTTTATGTAAGCTCCAATTTGCGTGGGCATGATCCTAAACAAATTGTCAACGTTTTATTGTGGTAGGTTATTTCCTTTCTCCAAGAGCAGCTTATACTAGCTATACGGTGTTATGTGGATTATCCCGACGAGCACTAATTATTTTTTCAGGATATTCCTCAAATGCTTTATATATTTAAGGTTAGGTTGTAGCATTTTAAAATTCCTTGGTATATATTGAAATCCCCTCGTCTACGTTAAAACATCCAAAAATCTATCCTATTTGCGTCGCCGAGGTCGATAATAAACCATTTTACAATTTGTTTATAATTCACAAACGCATATTCTTTAGTATTTTCTTTGATCGAATGCCGCTCGATATTGCGTTTCAAATAAACATCCATTTAGATCGCTGAGAAGGTTTGGAGTCCGAATTTTCATGAAATATGTAAATATCTTCGTTTTTCGCCCCTTGTCATGGAAATGTGTATTGTGGCAGTTAATAGTTACAGTTATAGTGAAGGTTTGAAATGGTGGCCATTGACTGCAGACGTGTTTAATTTAGTCGAAAGAAAAACCGGCAAAATTGTTAAAAAAAGTGATTTTTACTCAACGTAATGTGTCTGATTAGATAAGATTAATCACTGGTTTTTATGAGATATTTGTAAAACGGCACCTACAACATCTTTGATGGATAACCACATGTTGCCATTGTGTTTAGCTGCACCTATTCCTGTTTTTTAAGAAGCTGAGTCCAAGGTTTGCGTCTAGTGCCAATTTCAACCTCAAATTGTTGTCCTAAGAAGCCGTTTCAAAATACTTTTCGTAGTATAGAGATGAATTTGTTCGTGTAGATGAGAGTGTAAGTCTAGTTTCCACCCAGAAGTTTTAGTGCACTCCAGGTAACTTTTGTGTTTAAATTTTAAAGGAAAAATAAACATTTTTTAATATTGTTCTGAAGCTATTTTCTTGTGGCATTTTAAATTAATTACTATTTAAATGGGAATAAGCCACAATTAAAGGTTAAAGTACGTTTATTATTGTTTCAATTCCCACTTGAGAAATCGTTCTCCGAGAAAGTTAGGTAATTTATTTTCGTTCTGATTCGTGTTATCTGATTGTTTTATTGGTACGTTTATTTTCAATAAAAACCTTTATTCTTCGCAACAATATCTAGTTTTTTCAAAAGAAATAAATATTGGTTGGTTGTGTGTACTACTGCATATGATTAATTGCCCTAAAATAAGGACTCGTGCAAAAAGAGAAACCGAGAGTGGTGACATATAAAAGATATTTAAACTATTGTAGAGGAAATTAATTATATAAGGTTGAAAGTCAACAAATACAGTAAATAATTTTTGCAACAAATAGCGAGGCAAAAAGGAAGGCAGAACAAGAAAGTGCGCAAGCGTGAGAAGCACAAGTAAAGAGAGACCAGCAACATAAAAGAAATGGAAGCGGATGCGCCACAACATAGTTAATACCGGATAAGTTGGTAAGGGTTAATGATCTATTAGAACAAGCTATAAAATTTCTACAGCCTTTACAAACAGTAGCCAAAGACAGAATAGAAACCCATCTAATGGCATTTGAAAAGTATGTTATTAAGAAGTACTGGGGAGGTTTGGTAAAGATACAGAACCAATCACTACTGTACAAACACGAAAACTAAAGTAACTAGGATACGTGATAAGGGAGCCAAAATATGCAATTTAGAGACATATAATATAGGGAGAGATTCAAGGAAGATCCGTTGGCCGAAGGTAGAGTTCTTGGTTGAAAAAGCTACGTGATTGCAGATCGATTGATTTGTGAACAGCAAGTTCAAAAATAAAAATAGCCATTATGTTTGTCAACCTCCATAGGGTGAAAATACTCTAAGAAAAAGAGAAAATTAGAAGAATATCTATCGATAAAGGATGTAGTAAAGTAAACTGAAAAATAAAAGATCGATACAAGAATCATCTGTTAAAATTTGTATTCTAGACAAATCTCGTTTTGAAATAATTGCATATAAATAAAATGTCGAATTTTTACAATTATCATTATTGCTGAAGTACAAATTGAAAATTGAAATCGACACGTGAAAATATACGCATTTTCAACAAAAATTGTGGTTACCTTCCATTATAGATAATAAATAGTAATAGTGTAAGTAATAAAAAGTTACTTCCATATATAGATAGAAGACAAATTGGCAGATAAAAATGGTTGAGAAATATAACTTATATTTAAACTACTTTTTATTTGTTAAAAATATTCGAATAACTTACTTCTGGATAATCGGCTAAAGCGACTAAAAGATCGTCTTTCGCTAAACAAAAGAGATCTGAATAGCCCAGAGACCGGACATTGGCAGTCCTCCTATTTCCTGTACGATTTCCGACAATATCCAAGACGCTAACTTCGCCGAATACGGAGCCAGCGCCAAGAGTGGCCAAAACTGTATAACCATCGTCAGCCACCACCTACAAAAGAAAAAAAATGTGGAAAAATTTTATTTTTAATTTTAAACTATAAATAAGATTTAGTATGGGGTGGATTATAATTATGTTTTCAGAAGTTAATGTAAGTGTAAAGCATATTGACGATTGTAAAACAAAAACATTGCAATATCCAAACATCCAAACACACTAATAAAAGTGGATTAAATGTAATTGTATGGATATAACATTATATAAAGATATATACTAAATATTGCAATAACCAATAATTCCAACGAGTCTTCTTTTCTTTCATTTTCTGTTATTATAGTCTCTGGTTAGTAGCGTTTGAGTAATGCTCATACTCCAGTACGGTTAATATATAGGAATATACGCAATATATAGTCGGTAACAAGTTTTCTCGTTTTTCAAAAATCCCAAAATTCAAAATCCCAAAATCAAAATCCCAAAATTCTCAACCCAATCCAAACAATTTGCCAATCTTTCACTTAGTCATAGCCGCCGTTGCAAAAACTCTCTCTCAAAAAACCATCGAGGATAATCTATCCGAAAACAACTTCCCATACACAAAAATAGTTCGTATAATTGCCCGCTCCACTAACCAACCTACCTCCTATATCAGAGTATTCACTAACTCTGAAATAAAGTTCGCTGAAGTGCTCTCGAGCGGTATCTTGATCGACGGTGAACGGTTGGCCTGTGAAATACCACGATCAGGCAACTCCGTGCCCATGCGATTGAAGTATTGCTCGAAATGTTGCAAAAGCGGACATTTCAACAACGAATGCCCCGAAAATCCGATTCCTAAATTAAATATCCAATACAATGTACGGATGTGCCATAGCCACTTCCTGCACAAACAACCTTATAAACCAAACCTTTACCACTTACACATCTAAAAACACATCATACATATCATCACACACACATGCACCCTAAGACAATACCCATCCCACACACACTTTACCTCCACTCCGCTCACAATCCTAAATAATAAACACATAAATCCAACACTACACTCAAACCAAACACATAAATTCCCTATAAACATCCAGTACATCACCTACACTGTGGTTGGTTTTCTATGGTTTCCCAATCTCATTGCACAATGATACCTGATCCTAGGTGAGGATATAGCCACAGCATTCCTCCACGCGTTTTCCAACAAACAAAAAAGACCAACAATGTGAAAGGAATCGTTTTTTCCACGTAACTTGTACTTCGTGACAGGTTTGGTTCACTAGGCTGGTTCTTATGGAAGATCCGGGTTTTCCTCCTCTTCCCTTCTTCTTGTTTTCGGTGACTCCTCTCCTCACTCCTCTTCCGATACACTTCTTTAGCGGCGGCGCCCCTAGTCTTCAGAATCCGAGGTCGTATGAACGAAAACTAGGATTATAAACTAAACAAGCACAAGCATCCAAACTAATCAAACCCATCCTTGAAGAAGCATAGAGCTTAAACAAGGTTAAAACGCTGTCCTTCCTTCCTATTAAATTACGTTTACTATGAGGTACTGCTGGTTACGAATTGATTACTATTGAACAAAGTTTTTATATGTAGAGTGAGTTTTAAGTAGGTACGGAACGCCTCAATTATCTCTGACACTGCTAGCATTTCTTCTTCTTCTTCAGCCTTAAGTAATCCAACTTTGGACATAGGCCTCCCCCAAATCAATCCAGTGTCTTCTATTTTGCGTCACTTGCTTCCAGTTGTGTCCTACAATCTTCTTAATATCATCCGCCCATCTCATTTGTGGTGTTCATCTGCTTTTTTTTCCTAACCATGGTCTCAACTGTTGTATTTCGTGGTTCCATCTCTTATTCTTCAGTCGGGCATTGTGTCCTGCGAAGCCTAATTTTAATTTGGCAACATGTTCTTGCGTATTTTATTTTGGTTTTGCTTCCAAGCCATTTGTTTTTTTTTGTCTATAAGTCTCACCCCGAGCATTGATCTTTCCATCGCTTTTTGTGCTTTTACTATTTTATCCATATTAGACTTGGTAAGTGTCCACGTCTGTGAACCATACGTGAGTATAGGAGGATACACTGATATTGTTCTATGTTAGTGCTTTTCAAGATCCAACTCAGTTTTCCAAATCCTGCCCACGCTAACCTTATTCTGGTAATTTCGGCAGTTTGATTTTCTCTGTTAACTTTCATTATCTGTCTCAGGTAGATGTATTCTCTTACTGTTTCTAAATTTATTCCGTTCAACGTTATTTCTCTAATGTTCGGTGTATTCGTCATTATTTTTGCTTTTTCTAAGTTTATCTTAAGACCTACTTTTTCCGAAGCTTGAAATAGTTGCGTCATCGTCGTCTGTAGTTCTTCGAAACTTGTAACGAATATTACAATGTCATCAGCGTATCTTAAATGACTCAGTTTTCATCCATTAACATTTATGCCTTTATCTGCCCAGTTAATGTCTTTGGACACGTCTTCCAGTCTAAGTGTGAATAGCTTTGGTGAGATAACATCTCCCTGGCGAACTTCTCGGTTCATTGGTATAGCTTTGATTTTCGCATCTATTTGTATTGTAGGTTTTGTAAATACATATTATGTATAA